TACACACCTTCATTCTTTGAGTTTAAGTATTTTTTCTAATATCCTTTTCCTATTAAGTATTCGTTCTAATATTAGTCACTTAAACGCCCGATATCAATTCCGATGTGATTTTGTCGTAACCTTTGTGTGTGATCTTAGATTAGTGTACAATATAAAGTACAAAATGATTTTCTTAGGTTTCGTCTTTGTATATTAAGCAATTTAGAAAACCTATTAAACCCGTAACAGCAATAATGGAAATAGATTATATTTCTTTGGTACAATGTTGTACCAACAGCTAACAACATATTATATCAAGTGTATATTATTGAAAATGTATTAAAAAGGTAATTATCATACTTGTAGATTAGTTACTCGTGTATTAAAACATAAATTTATTTAAAATTTATTATTCATAATATATATTATATATTAATAATTTCTAAGACGAATCATTGATGTTAAAAGAATAAAAATATTTTATATTTTGTTTTGCTCTCTCGGTCTATAAAACTAATATTATTTCAGACGAGCCGAGTGGCCGACAACTCATGGAAAAAACAACAACATCGTACATAAAAAAGTTTCATTGTACAATGTAAAGGTTTATAAACTATAAAATACAGGCGCAACAAAATAATTTTATAGTCCCGCAGTCACGCTGACTATTCGTCTAGACTCTAATATAATAAAATAGCGGTGAGAACGGAGGAGCAACCAACATTCCTTAATAGCAATCTTTCCGAGACGTACATACTCTAAAAAAATACCCTATATGGATATAAAGAAATTATAAGACATTGGCTGGTCATCTTCATCGCTGATTGGTTGGGATTCAACGTTAACCTATGACAAGCACTACATCCAATCGTTGTGTTGTCATTGTTATCTGTTTGGTGCGGTTTCATTTTTCGTAACGGTGAAACATATTTGTACAAAACTTACTATTGTAGTCGTGATTTTTCTGTTGTATGGTACTAAAATGTCATACAAAGGAAAATGACACTATACACATGACAAAACTAAGAAAGGGGTTCTACCAAAATAGGACAATAGGTTACTCAAGCACCTAAGAAACAGATTACCACTGCTGAAATTACACGAGGGGCGAATAAAAACAGCAACAATATATCATGACGCAATTCAGAAGAACAAATCATCAAAAATTCACTACAGCACTTACATACATGAAACTATATAAATATTATACTAAACTTACAAAGTGTAGTACAAATATTTAATTCATCACTATACTAAGCAAGTATTAGGTACACGACAGAAACACATCCTCTTCGCATACGCACAATTTAACATTTACTTAAATATTAATCCTAAAATATTGTACAAATGGACGATAATAACACTCACGAACATACGACATAACAAAACACTGTATTCGTGCAAATAGTGCCGAAAAACCAACGACAATATGCAAAATACGACATAAAATGTACGCATATGCGCACTGTCCGATAATCGATCAAACAAAAAGAGATGAACAAACGTGAACAATCAATGCTGACGTTAAGTATATCAACAATTGAGTGGGGATGAAACAATCGCTTCCTTATATAAACGCCACGCACAGACAATAGATTACACTCAGCGCAACACGACAGATCAACACAGATGACCACGTCGAAGGGCGCCCGCTGCGAAACCCGACAACACCGACCAGCTTTTCTGTTGACACGAAATCAATCTTTCTTCACAAAGTGAGGTAAGTGAATATACATATGTATTACAATCGAAGACAATTAATCAATTTTGTACTCAACTAATAATATTCAGTAGTAGGATAAAAATTACGATAAGCGCGCCATCTTAACTAGTTACATCCTTTATAATTTGCCACCTTGATTCTAAAATAAATTATCCATTCCGCCACACATTAATTTTTACCTTAACCTGATACCTGCTTGACTTGTCAACCTATTTCTGTTGTAGTAATAATAATATATGCACAAAATAATTCAAAATTCATTTAAATATTAAAAATTAATTAATAATAATTAAATAACAATATAAATAATGTTTATAAAATAATACAACAATTGAATAAATACAATACAGTATTATAATATATTATACAAAATGATACATATTAAATTTGATAACATTTTTTATCATGTATACATTATTTACATATGTATTATAATATAACGCTATTCCGTATAAAAAGATTCCTACCAATCAATGTATTTATTTGGTTTTATATGTTATGTGTAGTACTTTTATTCGTATATAACGATATAGGTTATAACGATAATTCCGGATAGCTATGTTATTTTGAAACGAAAATTTGTTTTTATAATCACCTATTGCAATTAATAATATTTATGTACATTGTGTAGTTAATTTGATTTCCTCTGGAGCGATAATTCTCATCTGCAACAGATAATGTATCTTGTGCGAAGAAATCGTATTCAAAGTACTGTACTAAACCGCCGACCGTCTTACTACAGTGAAACCTGTATATAACGGACAGTCACGGGACCAAAATAATTGTCCGTTATAGACAGGTGTCCGTTGTAGACAGGTTTCATGTTTTAATCTTTATTAATATTATACGTACCATACATATTATATGCATATATACACATACACAATAAATTAATTTAATTATTTATTACAATTACAATTTATTTTACATTACACCATACAATGACACATTATATTTGTATAAATGTATTCAATTATTTCTTAAAAAATGATTCTATTGATGTTTGTTTTTTGAACATCGATTTGGTCATTTCCAACTAGTGATGGATAATTAATTCGCTCATATATGAAAATCCTATGTATTTTTGTCCGTTATATGAAATTGTTGTATTAAATATTAGTGTCCGTGTCCGTAATAGAAGGAGTCCGTTATAGACAGGTCGAAATACATTAGAATGCCTATCTTTTTGCCGGGACCTGGTCATTTTGTCCGTTAAGAGAGGTGTCCGTTATATACAGGTGTCCGTTAAGTCAGGTTTCACTGTACTTTGTAATAATATATTTTAAACATATTTAATTTACATTAGATCTCAGATACAGATGACACTATAAAATTACTTTGCCACTTTCGGCAATTTCGAGAATCAAAGTTGTATGACAATTTTTCAAAAAAAAAAATGTTTCTAGTTTTGAACCCAAGGATTATACGCAACATCACACCTGCGTCGGTACTCTTTGATCCGCTGGTACTCCTTTGATCCACCTCCTAGTCTATAAAGTGTATCTATTAGTTACTGGATACTTTGTATATATACGAGCCTCCTTCCATATCCAAATTAGAATTAGCACAGTGCCAGTACGACGTACACTCTTGTGAGTACTAAGTATTAGCAACTAATCTCGCGGGCAGGTGTTTAACAATCTGTCATTAAATTTCTAATTCAAATATAAAACTAGTATACTTTTTATAAACGTAAATAAATTACTTATAATTACGACAGTGTAATTTGTCTCTCTGTACCACCTATCCAATGCAACACATCAACGTCGTCGAACTAAAATTGTAAACGATAGTGAGGGATCACTACACTACTATCAATTTCGGAAATTCATTTTTATATTGATCATTAGCGTACTTTTGTTTTGGTAAACAGTGATATAAATATGCTAGAAGTATAATGCTAATAAAAATATTTCTAATTTTGTTAAAAAGTCTTATTCAAATTTATAAACGAACCACTATAATAGATTATTTTTCCAACAAATCGTAAACATATACTATATACTATATATAATATGTACTTTTATTAAAAATTATAAATACATACATACCTTGAATATTAAAATACAATGTAATATTAAATTAAATTAAACAGTAAAAAATCAATTAATAAATCAATTTGTCAAGAAAATCATGTTACTTTTTAAGATCCGGATATAACGAAGTTCGGTTATAACGATCATATTCCCTAGGTCTCTAGAACAGGGGTCTCAAAACTTTTTTATTCAAGGGATACAAAAAATATCAAATGCTTTTAGCGGGCCAAAAGTAAATATAATTTTTACTTTTATGAAAATATAGGTATACAAATATAAGTTTACTTTAAATCTTTTGATAAAATATTGTCTAAAATATGCTTAAATATAATTGGTGTAAATTTAATAATTTTTTTTTTTTACTGAGAAGTATAAAGTTGATGTTTTTCTGATAATATTCGATCGAATTTAGGTTGTATGTTGCTAGTTCCAATTTTCAAAATTGACTCCAAGTGTTTGTTAGTCATGGCCGATCTATATTTTCATTTGATATATTTCATTTGGGAAAAGTTTGTTCGCACAAATCAGTCGTCGCAAATACAGATATAATATCAAATGCATTTTTTGTTTTAAATTTTATACTGTGTTTCTGGGAGAAATTTATAAAAATCAACTAAAGTCTCTTCCAATGTTAATTTCCGTGCATCATTACTTTGTAAATAAATAATTTCCATTTGAAGGGTAGGAGGTGACTCCTCAATATCACAACTAAACGGGTTTTAAAAAATATTTATTTCTTCCGATTTTACGGTCCACGGTCAGAAAAAACATTGTTTAAATTGGATTTTAAGTTCAGAAATTATTTTTTGAGCAAAGTGAATGGAAATTACTGTTTTGCTTATTGTTATATTATCACAAGTAGAAAAAATGAATAAACAAAAAAAAACTCTGTTTCTATTTCTTTCAAAAAATCATGAAACTGACGATAATTTACCGCGATAATGATTTTTAAATTACACATATCTTTAAATATCTAACCTTTTTTGACGTACATTATAACATTTATGTATTGTATGTTTACAGACGCTCACTCGACACATTGCGACTCGTACACGAATATCAGGAGTACCTCTTGGAATATTTACACAACTTGTCCTCTACCTAACGTGCCAATACAATGAAAGCAATATATGCAGTGTTTTTCTACATATCGTTAGCAATTGCATTATGTTCACCCAATGTTTCCACGTTCTGTGGAAACGATGAACAGATAGAAGATTTGAACAACGCTCTTAATCATTCACGAATCCAGTTTCACGGCAATGACAACATTGAGTGCAATACCTTTAACCGGTGCGGCGTTAACGTTCTTACAAGTGATGTCAGCTGGTAATTTTGCTTTGCGTTTGAACGATGCATTTGATAAAATAGAAAGTTCGTTGAATAAAAATCATTTAGATTACAAACAATGTTCGGAAATCTTAGAAAAAACAGAAAAAGCATCCACAGTCATCAAGTCAACTAGTCTTGGGTTTTCTCTTGAGGCATTAATACCGGGTGTCGGTTTGGCACCTTCACCTCCGAGGATAGCTGAATCAGCGGTATCTGCTATGTCACTTATAAGAGTCGTTAGACTTTGGCAAAAGACCGGTTGCCAAAATGCTACAATAAGAGATTGTTATTTATAGGTGAATAAATAAATGTACCTACATTAATGATTTGATTGTAAACGTTAATAATACCTATATTATATATTAGTTTTTATCATAAAAAACATTATGTTTGATTTCATTTAATAAAAATTATCCGTTGGAAGTTTTGTTTACCTATTATTATTTATACGACGCGAACCTTTTGTATTCATAGGTAATATATTATAATGGTTAGGTAATTAGGCTTCCACGTGCGTTACCGATCCAAGAGGTATATATTTTTTATTCCATACTCAAATCATTTTAAATGTAAGAAAATATAAATTAATATAACTACTCACAATAATATTAGTTATAATTTGTATTTAGGTAGGCAACAATAGTCTATACAATACATTATTCATATAAATTAATACACCAGAATGGAATATTTTATAAATTAATCGGTAATTATAATTCAATGTATTCTGTATTTGTTTATTAAAACTGTAAAAGTATAAGACCATGGTCCAAATAGTTTTTATGACTGTCATGGTCGAACACTTTTAGAGTTTTACCAGAGAAGAATATTTTAATTGATTAATCTTCATTTTTTATGTCATTATTCTTGTTTAATTTATATAATGCCGAAAGTGAATTAATTTTGCAAATTTTACTTGTTTTCTCTACGTGTGTAAACTATCATTTATTTTGCGTATTTCATGAAATATACGTACCTATATCTATATATTTTATAATAATTACGTTTGTTAGTTGCGATGAGTGACGATTTAAAAATGATGATTTATTTTCAAAATTTTCGCGGTATTTGGTTTATATACATTTCACTTATTTCAATTTACTAAATACAATTTATATGTAGTAACTTGTTGACTTAAGTTGTTCAATATATTACAGTGATCTTCAAACTTTTGAAAGTTTGTTAATAAAATAAATAAAATAGTTAGTTAATGAAATGATCAATGCACTAAGGCCTTAATTTAAGTTATAAGCTGAATAACAGATTTTTTTCATTACTCCAAGATAGAGATAAAAAAAAAAAAAAAAAAATTAGAATAAAAAAAAAATTGTTTATTTTTAATGTAAAAGTAATAAAATGAAAGTCTTGACAAATATACATTTTTGATTGATTTCATTTAATAGTTCTATAAGAACCAAGAACCATATTCATGTACAAATCTTTTTAACATGTCTTTAGCCAAATTATTATGCGTACAACAATTTTCTGAAGAAATAAGAAGTCTTATGTGTGAAATTCCGTTGCTTTCCGATGTTTACATTTTTTCAATTGGTCTAGGCAAGTGATTAAATTCTGAATGTAAAATATAACATTTAGGATTAATAAATTCTTCTGAAACAGCATTTGGATCTATTCTGGTTTATTCGTGGTAACAAGAATAATATGTTAATTATGGTAATATAATCATACAGTATTATTCGATGGTAGTTTTGGCGAAAACGTAACGGCGAGTAGTCGTTTCGACGGTTGGGGAACAAGAATGGTGTTGTCGGTCGGACCGTCGGCGTAGAAGAGGGTTCCCGCCTCGTACAAAAATTGTTTTGGGGGAAAAATGTTATTTTTTTTTAAATATAAAGTAATAAATTTATTGTGAAGGAACATTTTAAAATTTTAAAATATATATTAGTTTTATCATAAAAAAATTATGTTTGATTTCATTTAATAAAAAATTATCCGTTGGAAGTTTTGTTTACCTATTATTATTTATACGACGCGAACCTTTTGTATTCATAGGTAATATATTATAATGGTTAGGTAATTAGGCGTAATTTTATTTTGCGTATTTCATGAAATATACGTACCGTCAGTAAGCTCGACACGAAGGTACGCGGCCTTGTCGAGAATACAGGCACACACATATTATGCATTATAATACACAGTAGAATGAGTTATGAGCGTAGTAAATTCATCCGACCGAGTTATTAATTATACACGCTAATCGAATGAATTCGAATGTATAATATATTAATATTATCCCATCAAAAACATATATGTAAAATGAGAGCCAAGTTCAATACTATAATATATGCCTTGGTTGTTGACTTCAACGACAAAGAAGTGAGATCTAAATGGGGTGCCAAGTTAGGATAGGTAATATATTGAAGCCTAAGGTGTAACTTGGCTACTTTTCATATACGAATTATTATTATAAGTAGGTACCTACTAAAACAGTAATGGAAGAGTGAAGATGATTTTCCTAAGAATAAAATAAGAACTCAAAGCTTTACAACTTGCAAATGCTATAATATATAATTCGTAGCCAAGTCAGACCTTAGGCTCCAATATATTATCCTAACTTGGCACCCATTTAGATCTCACTTCTTTTGTCGTTGAAGTCAACAACCAAGGCATATATTATAGTATTGAACTTGGCTCTCATTTTACATATATGTTTTTGGTGGGATATCATTACTTTTTGTATGTAAATTATTATAACTTAACCTAACCTAGCCATGACGTATTCTATAAATAAAGTTTATTACTATATAATATAATTCAGTTACTAATATTAATAATAATATTTATTATAAAATATTTTCCGTTGTATATACAGAGTATAAAATATATGTAAAATTAAATTAATATACAATTATTTTAACTCTTTTTGAGTATATTTTTAATTATCATAATTTTATTGACTGTAGTTTCTACTGTTGGGTGGATAATTCATAATTTGTAAGAATAATTATTTTAATTGTAATATTTAAAAAAAAATAATATTAATTACATACATAGATAGAAAAAAAGTATGTTGCTGCGCGCGGGTCGACAATATCGACACATATTCGGCTAGTCGTATTTTTGGAGCGGCGATACGGGAAAGGTTATTTAAGTCAACATTACATTAAATTAGAGGCAATTCATTAATAAATTGAAAAGTTAAACATAATAGATAAAATAATTGCAAAATTATAATAAAATCAATTGATTAAAAAATTTTAAATTTAAAAATTAAAAATTAAAAAATTTTAAATTAAAAATTTTCAAGTTTCTGATTTTTCCCCTTGTATTTACCTAACTACCTATCTGTATGCCAAATTTGAACTTTCTAGGTCATCTGGACCTGGGTTAGAATTTTGATCTATAGGTAAGTCAGTGATAAAAATGACGATTTTCGGACGTTAATATCTAAATAATGGTTTGAAGTATGTTTATGAAATTTAGAGCACATATGTATCTCGTTAGTCTCAATATATGAGCCAAATTTGACAAGTTTATGTGGAATAGTTTTTGAGTTATGAGGGGGTCAAAAGTGGCTCCAAATGGTAAAAATATTACACACGGTGCTGCTCGCCAGTTCTGTTAGCTAGAACTTGGCTTGACACGCTACCGCGTGTCTAGATACATACCTACTATGTGAGCGAGTGTGAAGGTATATACGCGAAATTAGTGGAGTTTTATTATTCCTTTAAATTATTATAACTAAGGCGCACAGTCAAACTTACTTTGCGAGACGCTATTAATGCTAAATGGTTCGCGAGGAAATCGTCTACGTTTTGTGACTTTGCGCACACACTCGCACACACACGCCCACTCGTACACGCGTGAGTACACGTAATATACGGTAAGTACATGTTCGAGAGGTCCGGCGTATAAGGATTTCGAAACTTTACACAGACCGTTTTTCGTCCGTAATTAAATTCACCTCGATCCCTTTAGGTTTGAAACACCAGTAAAAATAGGTATTGACAGTTGAATATAACAAGAATATTTAGTATTTTCAAAATCTATATAATTGACGCGTTTTATTTTTTCAATAATTCACCAAAAACGTATACTTACAAAATTCATCTAGATAATCGTATTATTAAAAACGAAAAGTATTTCTTGATCAAATATATAGTCACTATAAGTTGGGTACATACCCTAACCTAACTTAACCACTAAATGTCGAAATCCGTCGAGATTTATCTCAAAAATCTCATGTCGGCGTGACATAAACTACGAAAGTATCTGATCCGCAGACAACTGCCGCGTTACGTCGATTACTAGATTATATAATAATAATAATAATACTAATAATAGTAATAATAATAATAATAATAGTAATAATAATAATAATTATATAGTACCGTGGTATTTTATAGACACACAAAATTAACACAGGAAAGTACGTAGCATAATATTCGTATTTTATCCGGTGGAAGGAAACTGATAAACGAGTATGATATAGGCACCTGGTTATAATATTATAACTATACATTACACTATATCACCCAGTCGAACCTCAACCTAAATTATAAGTATAACCAGGGGCGTCATTTCAACTTTTTTTTTGTTGGTGCGAAAATTTTTGCAGGCCATTCAAATTGTTACCAGGCCACATAGAAAACTTTTTTTTTCTTTAGTGGGGGGGGGGGTCTAGTGGGGAAAAAAACTGTAGAATATTTGTAAAATGTATTTAATACGTCACTTATATTAATATGAAAACTTCACAATATTATTACTATTTTTGAAGAACTATGTGTAGGTACTTTTAATAAGTTTATATTATTTTGTGGATGCCAGTTGTATTTGGTAAGCAAATTTATGGATATAAAGCACCTTAATAGTATTTAATCGAACCTAACCTATACATTTTTTCTCCATGCACACTCAAAATAAATAATATAGCTAAACCCCTAAACCTGAAATTTGTTTTATGGGTTACCTTGTTCAAAATGGCACAATATACTTAATTCATATTTCTAAATTTTTCCACATCTAATTTTAATTTAACAACTTAAATTCAATTTAATAACAAATCATTTAGTTAGACAAATAAAAACATTTATTATCATAAAGCAATAATTACTTAATACATTACATATTATATTACATTAGTGGATATCTTCGATTTTTCAACTTTGAAAATGAATCTACAGCATCATTTAGATTGATTTTATTGGCCTCTTCTTTCTCCACACTAACCACTAATAAGTCACTTAAGCGCTCATCTCCCATAGTTGATCTAATATAAGACTTGACTCTTTTAAGTGAGGAAAAAAATCTTTCATTAGAAGCCGTACTTATAGGT